CCATGTCCTTAACACCACGCCCCCTGCTGGTCCCATTTATTTATTTATTTATTTTTAAATAATTATTTACTTAATTTTATTTATTTATTAATTTATTTTAATTTGGCCAGAGAGAGAGAGGTGGGCAGGGAGAGAGAGAAAGTGAGAAAGCAAGCCACCAGGTTCAGGACTTCAGGTTGGCCATGTGGGAGTGTCCAGCTCCTTAACCACCATGCCACCTGCTGGTCCCATTTATTTTTTTTCTGAAAGATCGTTGCTATATGGTGTGTGCACTCACAGGAGACAGAGAGATGAAAGCAAATAATCACCTCACCTCCCCCCCCAGGAGAAGGTGGGAAATGGCCATGCCACAATTCCTTCTCCTCCATTCTTCTCTAGAATCTTAGGCATGTACACATGCGCCTGGCATGAGTTTTAAGCCACCAACCAGCTTCAGTATTTGAACTGCAGTAGACTACATGGGAGTCCACCAACATAACCATTATGCCATCTGGTCCTGAGACCGTCTTTAAAACAAACCTGAGGGAACCAGCAGTTAGCGTAATGGCTATGTCGCTGGACTCCCACGTAGTCGACTGCGGTTCGTGTCCCGGACCTGGTGGCTTAAAACTCACACTGGGTGCGTGTGCGTGCATGCCCAAGATCCTGAGAGGAGAATGGAGGGGAAGAGATTGCAGCGTGGCCATCCCCCCTGGGGGTGATTTCTCGCTGTCTCTCTGTCTCTGGTGAGCACACACGCCCTATAGCAAAAAAACCTCTTCAAAAAAAAAAAAAAACTAACCTAAAAAATACAATTTAAATAATTCTTTTTAAAAATTGGGGTAAGTAGGAGCCTCTTTTTTCAGCTTTTTGCCTTAGAGTATGTGCACTCATTGGAGAGAGACTGAGACAGAGAGACAGAAATCATCCCCCCACTGCGGGTATGGCCATGCTGCAATCCCTGTTTTCCATTCTTTTTCAGTGATGTTGGGCACTCACACACAGGTGCTTAGTGTGATTTTCAAACCACCAGGCCCAGGACTAAATGGTTCAATGGAAGTCCTGCAGTTGGCCATGGCTTCAAAAACGCACTAAGCAAACTAAAAAGCAAAGTAAAAAACAGAAGTGCAACCCTGATGAGCTTGTCATTGTTGACGAACACTGTAGGGACCTCTGGCAGCACCTATGTGAAATAAGTGCCAGTGACGTAAGCGCTGGCCACTTGCTGGCCCTGTCACTCTGCTTTATGTAATGTGGCATTGATAAGCTTAGAGAACTTCAACCAGCAGGTGGCATAATGGTTACATCCCTGGACTCCCACCACATGGTTCCGACCTCGATTCAAGTCCTGGACCCAGCGTATTGAAACTGATGCTAGGCATGTGTGCACGCCCAAAGTCCGGAGAATGGAGAAGGGATTGTGGTGTGGCCATCTCCCTGCGTACACAAGCCCTATAAGAAATAAAAGCATGTCATTACTTCCAACCCATTAATGGCCAGCATTTTGTTCGTAGGATAGTTATGTTGCCATTTTTGTTGCTTTTTATTTGGTTATGAATTTTAGCCTTTTCAAGCTCGACCTTCTCAAATGCTGTATTTCAGTTTGGACAGGAGACCTCCGTGTTGCATTAAGCAATGGAGTACAGTGGAAGAGGGGGCCAGCAGGTGATGTGGTGGTTTAGCGCACTCGA